ACTGGAAGAGAGAGTCCTCAAGCGATCGCGGGTGCAAGGGCCGCTGTTCGCAAGAGTAGCACGGCTTCCTCATCGAGAAGCATTGAACCGAAAGATAATAAGCCACGATGGAGAGGCTAAACTGTTTGCAATGCTATGTCTTCTTTTTAAGAGGATTGCACGGCCGGTTTTCATTCTACACCGGTACAATGACCTCCCCAATTCCTCTCGTAACCTTTCCTTTCATCCATTCGCTTTGGCAATAGACCGCCTACATCCTCACGATTGGGCCCATCCTAGTGCGAAATACGGGAACCAGCCCGCTTTGAACACTGCATTCGTTGGGTTGAAGGGCCACAACCCCACGCCTGAAATGGCGTAGAAGTTTCATTTGGTCAATCTGTTAGTACCCGGACGTCAAAGGTGGCGTCTGGGCTTTGGCGTTCAAGGAAAGGGGTATGGCGGTCTTTTGGGCTATTTTGATTCTTATTCCCCTCCAAGCGTGTTATTCTGTCCAGTTTCCTGCTGCAGTAGGGAGACCTTGCGGTGTATATAGGAAGAACTTTGAGGAATTCTTTAGCCCCTGTGTTATATGCAGGGCCTGAGGGAACATTCTACCCGATAGGGGAATTGTTGAAGATAGGAGTAAAGTTATCAGGTGAAAGAAATCCTGGACGAACCGAGATGTTATGGATTCTGCCCTATACCCCTTCATATGTAAGATGCCAAGCTGAGAAGGCAGGAAAAGACAAATTTGATAGTCGATGTTACCTGAGGCTGCATTATTTTCTCTCGTGGTGAAGTGTTTGTACAGACATTACTACTGCTCAAACCTCGTCAATATGCTGAGAATGACTAGCCCGTTGTACGAATATTTGATGAAATGGTTATTCTACAGAGAGCGGTTTTAGTGTTACTCAGGTAGTAGATATATCTTCATTCTGGACCAACGATGTGAACATTATCCTAAGGGTACACTATCCTATGGAGTGAAAGACTATACCATGATATAACTATTCGGGGGGTGTCACTATGCATAAAATGCCAACATTGGCTATATTATAGCCACGTTTCAGACGCCTCAATTCCTTCAGAGCCAGAACCTCAGCCTCTTGACGTGCCACGTGAGATTTCGATCTGTTGCGCTCCCATGGAGGAAAGCTCATGCCATTCATTATATTTACCACTCTTCACATCTGTCGAACTGCACTTCTCTCTACTTCGTAGCAGTGACTGCCACTGCAGCAATGCCTCTCAAAACACTCAGTCAAAACTAGCGCCGGTCGGCCCAATCTGTCAATGGTGCTAATGCCATGAATTGAAGCCGCTGAAGGGTCCGATCACCACGCCAAACAATATGGGTGCAACCCACGGGGGGATATCATGAATCCGTGCCAATACTTTGTAATAGGTAGATTCCTTGGAGGTAGTTGGCGAGATGTTGGCGTAGAGGTATGCGGGAATGACGAGACAAATGTAGATGACACCTATCAAAATCATCTTGAAGCTCTTGAAGGTCTTGCCAATATCGTCGACTGTCATATCAGGAGTGCGAATGCACCGGCTAGGATCGTACGAGCGGCGACTGGCGACGAACTCTTTGTCGTCCTTGGACAGCCATTCGGACGACTCGGGAAGAGTGGGCAGTAGAAAGAACACGACGAAGCCGACAACGAGGGCGAGACCGCCTTGAAAGAAAAAGACCCAGCGCCAGCCCGCATAGCCACCGAAACCGCTCATCATCTTATCGACTCCAGCTACTAAGAGGGCCTCGAAAGCAGCTACAAAGGGCAGAAAGCTAGTGAAGAGATCGTGTCGATACACGGCGTCCCAGCGCGGGTACCAGAGGCCAGTGACATAGAAAATGCCAGCGAACATAGCCAGCTCGAAGACACCAAGCAAGAAGCGCATGGCGAGGAGGCCACCGTAGCTTTGAATGGTGCCCTGAAACATGGTGGCGAGGCCGAAGAGGACGGTGGCTAGAGAGAGCCAGGCATTTGGACGGATCTTTTGAACCAGCACTTTCGCTGGAACCTCAAAGGTACAGTAAGGGATAGAAGAGATGGCGACATAGGTGAAGAAACGAATGCCGCCCTTGTCGAACAAGTCACCCTTGTAAGCGGCATAACTAATGTTGAGAGTATCTAGGCATCACAAAAGTTAGCCCAGCACATATTGCCTCTTCTTGGATGATTTAAAGAGAAGAGGTAAGGCTGCGAATACTTGCCAGAAAGCACCAGCGAATATACCACATAAAGGAAAGGGAGGATACGCCGGTTGATGTGTTGAGCCACTGTCTGCTGATGTTGCCTCTTTCGTTGTAACTGCCTCAGTTCCTCCTCATACCTCTTTTCGTCCGGCTGGTAAGCAGCGGAGGCTGCTTCAGCATGCGTGACCTTGTCGTTCTGTAGGCCTTGGTTTGCCTCCATCTAGTCGACTTAACCAGCGCTTGTGTCTGGCGCTCGGTGATTTTGTTGTTTGTCGCAATCGGCCGCCCGTCCAGCCGCACAGTTATTCACTGCCTCCACTGACCCTCCCGAGGGGTGGAGACTTGGATCGCGCTAACAGCTTGATACTATCAAGCATTTGTCTCAGCTGCCTCCACCGTTCAAGATTGGCATTCGAGGGCGTGAGCCGAGCGGGCGAGGCTTTCAAAGGTGAAAATATATATGTCGTGGAATTAAGGCAGGGCACCATATTGTCGCGCGGGATTTGCTAGCGTCTCCTATAAGAACAAGCCTCACTTACACAAGATTCGGGGAACTCGTGTGTAGACTTCTCGTCATGGTCTAATAACATAGTCTCATATTAATTTACAAACACCTGTCTCTCTAGGAGAATCAAATTGCTATTTCATAACATTTGGGTCCAGACGGATAGACAAATCTCAAGTATACGCTTCACTCCTTTCTAAGTGTATAAGTCGGCTCTATACTTTGGCGTAAATATCAGTTTTAACAAGGGCTTTCAATAGAAGCTTAATATGGATACAGGTACTCTTCTGTGCTAGTACGAGGAAAGTAGACTTAGTCAACAAGTATATAAGTCACATGTTGTCGGTAAAGACAGTCTTCTCAGATTATCCCTAAACATAGCGAAATTAGAAGTCAAAGAAGGAGTCATTGTCATCTGATAGCTCCTCGTCTGAGTCGAACTCGAGCTCTCTGGGCTTGTCGCGTTGCCATGCGGACTTCTTCGCAGTTGTAAGAGTCTCAGTAGCAAAGTCGCTCGGCCCAGTCTCTTTCTTCTTTCCGGCTTGGGCAGCCCTCTCTGCATCTTCCTCTTCCTCTTCTTCCTCACTCTTCTCACGACGGCTCTTGAACAAGTACCGCTGCGGCTGATATGTTTCACCCAGACGACGAGCAACGTCGTTGGCCTCATGTAGGCTAACGAGGCGTCGTTTGCTGGGATACTTCTCAGCGCAGGCATCGCACAGCTGCCAGATAGCTCGCTTGCGCGCGTCCGTCTCGTTTCCAGTGCCGTGCTCCGGCTTGGCCGCCTTGACCTTGCCGGCTGTCTTTGCGCCAACGAACGCCTTGGGAGCCCGTGTCACGAGTCGAGATACCGAGAAGTCCGGAGTCCAGTAAGTCTGCTCAGGCACGTAGAGGTGCAGGCCAAGGAATCCCTCATGCGAGATCTCGAGAGGTGTACGCCCAACAGCATTCTCGCGGTATAGAAGCTGCGGATTGACGTCCAAAATAGCACGAACAAGCTCCGGTGGTCCCTGCTTAGCGATGAGCGTATGGAGTGGTGTGTCGCCAGCACCGTCGAGCATATCCAACTCGCGGCCCTCCGAGTACTCGAGCAGTAGTTTGAGTACCGCAAGACACTTCTCAGTGGATTTGTTGTATGGGTGATTCCACTTGTCGCGGAAGAGCCCGGAGATCCAGGAATGGAGGGGTGTTTTGCCATCCTGCTGAAGGCTGTTTCGTTCCCTGAACATGTGACTCCTCAGATTGGCGTCGAGGAGGTCAAGAAGAGGGCGCAGCTGCTCTGCCTTAGGATTATTGAACACCGCGCTGTGGAGCAAGTTGTCCCAGGTCTTGGTCTTTGTGGATTGATCGGCACCATTCTTGATGAGAATCTCCGCGAGGTCAGGTCTACCCATGTAGCATGCCAGGTTAAGAGGAGTGCGTCCATCCACAGACTTAGTCTCCAGGGACGAAGGGAAGGCTTTGATGAGATACTTGACAAGTTCTTGAGACTTTTCACCTTCCGGTCCCATCACAGCAGCATGAAGGACAAGTTCATCTATGATAGATTAGTAAAAAGATATCAGTGTTGCTGAAGAGTACATACTCTGAGAACTGAGCCACTTGCGGATGATTTTTTCAAATCCGCCAGTTGTCTGGTTGAGGTGTTTGAGCCGGGAATCCTCGCTGGCAACCTTAGACTTCGAAAACTCAATGTATTGTCTCAAGGGAGCTTCAGTCAGGAACCATTCCACAGACTCAATGCTACCCGCCTTGGCGGCAAGTAATAAGGGTGAGGTCTTGGTGCCCATTGGCTTAGATACAGCATTTCGCCCGGCATTTGCCCAATCCTTTCTATTGCAAGCTGTCAGTACTCTCGAAACAAGTCGTTGAATCATCCACCAGAGTAGACATACCTCTTTTTACCATAGACAGTCAATCCTTGGTAGTATCGCGGCTTCTCTTTGATTTCAACTCCACTCGTCTTCACAAGCTCTTCCAGGGGTATACCTGCACCAGTTCTCTTGATTATATAGGCAAGAATCTCAGTGCGGCCTTGTCCAATCGCATACAGGAAGGCTTGGTCAGGGAAAGGAACGAACTTAGTAGGTTCATCGTCCTTGTCGAATTTCAGACTAGCATAGTGAACCTCCAAATCAAGAAGGAACTTGACAAGCCTCTGGTCGTTGTTCTTGATTGCGAAATTGAGTGGAGACAATTTCTTGTCGTCAGTCTCTTCAACTTTGCCGTCACGGAAAGTGAATGTCGGAGTCTCCCAGGCCATGAAGGCTTGGGGCTTGATATGACTTTTCACTTGCATCGAGACTTGCCCAATGTTCTCGATGGTCGCTTGTTCGTCGACTTTATGGGAGTATATCTCAATCTCCCCGTCATTCGACGCAGAGTCACTGTAGCAGTCAGATTCGTAGTCATTATCCTTCTCCATGTCGTAGCGAACAGCGTCTTTGTCTGTTGGAGAGTATTGCGCGTGGACAATTTCCAGAATAGCCTTCGCGACATGCAAGTGCCCTCGCAGTAACGCCAACGAGAACGGTGTACTTCCTTGCTTTTCGTTGACGGCAATCTGCAAGGGGGGCTCGTTGTTTTCCTTATCCCATGACTGTAAGGTAAGACTCTTGATCTTTTCAAGATCGCCCTCCCAGGATGCTTCAAAACTTCAGAGAAGGTTAGTTATTGAGACTAGAATGTATGGAAACACCAAGATTGATACCCAAGAAAAGACCATCACTTACAGCTCGATATACTTGGCCATTCTCGCTTCCGTCACATCAGTGACTCCAAAGAACTTGAATTCATACTCATACTTGCCCCCTGTCTTTTGGGTCTTGTCAATCTTGGGTACATCAGGCATATTTTTGAAGTCTGGGTGGAGCTCGTCGAAGGTCTTTCCATCTCTGGCTAGAATCTCAGCCTCGACCTTCTCGAAAGTCGATATTAGATCGTCAAAGATAGCTTGCTTCTCTTTGACACCCTTCATAGACTCAACATGTGCTTTCTGCTTCCTGAAGTCCTCCGAGCTCTTCTTGTGTGCCTCCTTGACGGCTTTGATATCTGCGGTGACGGTCCAGTGCTGCCAGCTGCCTTGTTTCAGACTCCCCAGAAATTCGTCGATCTCTGTCTCTAGCTTAGGCTCAACTAAGGTGGACCGGGGATCCTTATACTCGCGAAGAGCTTTGATCTCGTCGCGTGCCACATCCAACGCGGATTGTCCTTTGTCACTACCTCGCCACCACGATCGTTGGAGGATTTGATGTGAGTTGGCAGAGATGATGTTTACATCCACACCTTTCTTGATAAGCTCGAGGGCAATTTCGGGGCTGGGGGACTTTAGAGCTGCTATTAGAGGCTGCTCAGTCATTGTGCTGAACAGCTTCTTGTTCTGATCGTATGCCGCAAGCTCCTTTTGAACATGTGACTGCTTTGCAGACTTCAGCCATGTGTCGAAATCGATCTGAGAGACAGCGCCTGCATCAAGAAGCCGGAGAGCGAGCCTCGAATCACCATTTTGGAGGGCCGCCTGAAGAGCACTCCTCGTTTTGGGTCTATATGTATTCGTGAACCCGAGGTGATTGATAGCTGAGTTGGATCCAATCTTGTCCATCTCCCAAAGAATTTCCAGTAACTCAGAAGCGTTTTCTTCGGCATATCGCTGGAAAGCCGTAACACCATGTATATCGGCCTGAGCAGAGGTAGACCCCAAACTCAAGAGGGTCTTGACCATCTCCTTTGCTTTCTCGACAGGGAGGGCGGTGGCCAGCACCATGGTGAGGATTGCAGTGGTCGGCGCGGAGTTGTATCCCAGGAACTTGACTGGAAGTAGCACATCCGCTCCGTATTCCTGGCAAAGTAGCTTGACAACCTCTGTGTGACCTGAGATGACAGCCAGGTGTAAGGCTGATACGGGCTTGTCCCATGCGATAGCGTCCACATGATAGAAGTCCGGTTCGCCCTCGACTTCATCAGGGACGACTTCTGTGTGGGTTGCTGGTTGTTCCTTGTTTCCAACCCTGACAAAAGACCCAGTAGCCATACTATTACCATCATTATCATCACTGAGCTCGTCATCCACGAGTTCTCCATCAGAGTCTGCCTCCTCGTCTTCATCAGACTCCACTGATTCTTCAGTCTCAGATTTGTCGTTTCTCATAGGAAGCAGGACTTTGCGACGTTTATCTTCCTTCTCCTCTTCTTCAGCTTCGTTGGCAGTGCTCTTTTCCATCAGGATCTTGACAATTTCAACATCGCCTCTTGCAGCCGCTAGATGGAGGGCTGTCTTGCCATCCGCCAGACGAGAAATCAGTCGTGCGCCATGGTCGACGAGACACTTAACAACTTCAGGGGTTGAGCTGATGACAGCCAGATGTAGCGGAGTTCTACCGGTGTAATCTCTCTTGTTAGGATCGGCGCCTTCCTGTGCAAGCCAGTCCTCAACATGCTCAAGATCGCCATCAACGATGGCTTGGCAGAGTCGAGCCGTGTTACCCACGTATGACATCTCGGTCCAGTCGTCATCGGTTAGTGGATTGAAGGAACCGATTTCCTAGATGAAACATGAGCATTAGAAAGTATCAAACGAGGTATTCATCACAGAGTTTGTTACCTGTCTGCCAGGATCATCTTTGAGGAATGATATCTTTCCGCGAACATAGATCTTGCTCTCTTCCTCATATATCTCTTTCTCCTTGTCTGTTACTGGCTCCGGACAAAAACCACAGCAATCATTAATGACATCTTCAAATCGACCAAACTGAACAGCTAAATCAGTACGTATCAAGCCAGAAGCTCGTAGTGGATCTTACAAAGGCTGGATGGCGATGTAGGTAGACGTCTCTGTCCTTGGGCTGATTCCACTCGGCATTGAGTAATAGATCCCTTGTATAGCAGAGTTTTTCGATCTTCTTCGAGTGATATTTTACGCCGTATGGAAGAGTAAACGCTATCGAACAGTGAGTCATGATGCGGTACAGAAGGAAAGTGAGAAATTACTGTGGTAGCTTGACACATCTTCTTCGCTCACCCACTCCGCAACTTCGTCCTCATAGATGCTCTTGATATCACCCGCAAGACCATGTCGGAAGCGGCGATGTCCTTCCAGAGGAGGCCTACCACGTTCCTCACGACGTTTGCTCAGGTACTGCTCTCTTGACGAAGATGTAGGAAGGCGTTCGAGAACAAGGAGCCTAGCAAGACCCAGTGTTCTTTGGAAGCTTCTCTCAAAGATGGTAGGATCAATTCGAGAGCGATCGAGTTCTGGCCAATACACCTCGAAGCCTCTGTGGCTATACTTTGACAGTCTATTCTCATATGAAGGGCTGCGCCTGGTGAGATCAATGTGATTGATCTGGGTCATATACGACTGAAGAGCCCGGGGCGTGCAGTAAACCTGCTTTCCGTCATATGCAGCAGCGGAGCAATCCACATCAAACCCAGTAAGGATTTCTGAGACATTCTTGTATATGCGAAGAACAATCTACTCCTTGTTAGTCTCAGAATGCTAGCCTAGTTAGAAAATGTTAACTCACCTGCACATGTCGTGTGGGATATTGACTGCCTGTTGGAACTATTAGCAGGAGCATTTCGGGTCAGACCATCATACAGGACTCACAAATAGTGATGGCGTTCTTGGTGCGAACAGTTGTGGTTTCCGTGAGAATTGAGTCTCGGATCCTGGTTTCAATGTCTTTGATCTTCTCAATTGCCTCCTCCTCGCTGAGACCATACAAAAACAGGTCAACATCAGAAGCTGGGGAGAATTTTTCATGGTAGAACTCTCGAAGAACTCTCTTTGATGTGCTGTACTTCTCAGGTACTGGGAGAAGGCAGTTCACAACAGACGAGCCAGCGGCAACAACATTGTTCCAGTCAAGATCAATCAGAGAGGATTCTGAAAAGACGCTGAAGTTGTGCTGAAACTCCTTGAGAGACTGAACAGTCGCTGGAGAGCCATTTGGCCGGCGCTGGTCCTCAGGGAGGGCCATAATATACTTCTCCTTCTCCTTCTCAGACTCGGAGCCTAGATTTCTTGCTCGAGTTTTGATACTAGGAGTGTCGTTGGTGAAAAGGGGTAGGAGATTGGCATGCGGATCCTTGACAAGTTCATGCTCAGGCTCCTGAGCATAAAGCTGCCTCAATTGAGCCTCATACTTCCTATATGGCTGCAAGAGCTCAGTAAGTGGCGTGTCCGCATACTCGGCCATGCGCCGAACTAAGCCGGCTGGCGGGACCGGTAGGGACGCAAGTTGAGACATAGTGCGGGACTGTATAAAAACGATTCTGATTCTAGGGGAAAAGAGTGACACTGGCAAATATTGAAAGACCGCCCGCGGGAAGCAAAGAGACTTCATAGAAAGAGTGACGATGGGGGCATATCCCCCTATATACTTGCGCCGTCGCCGGCGTGCCACCACAAAACTCAATTGGGTTAATATTGGCGAACAGGCCGTCGTCAACGGTGGACCCCTGGAATGACAGCCAGCGGGGGAGAGCAGAGGTCAGATCATCTCAACGAGTCAGAAACCTTATGGCCCCGTCGACCTGCCGGCTCCACGAGCTGAAGGCAAGCGGATCTTGGCGCGGCTGCAAATGGTGAAGCTCCATTGTAAGGCGTTCTTGAGAAAACGTTATGGCGCGTGTTAGCGCGCCGCTAGGGGGCTGTGCTGCCTGCCATGCCTAGCCCGCCAGCCTACGACAAACACCAAACTTACACGAAGTCCTGTGATTCTCATGGCATTGCCTCAATTGAGGATATCCCGTGTCTCATGGCTCGTGCGTAGCTGCCTGTCTGTAATCTCCTCCGTTGCGGCATCATGAACGAAAAAGGAAGAAAATTGTTTGGCTCGAGGCGCGCTGTTGCCTTGTTCCAGATCTCCCTGAAGACGACGACCGCAGGTGGCCAAAATTCCCAACTTCCAATTGAGATAACTCATCTATAGATAGCAACGTCAATACCGCATGAAACTGGACAACACGAATCTTCACAACGCATAGCAGACGCAGCGGGTGAAAACTGAATGCATGTGGAAAAGCTCAGCTCTGTTGAGATTAAGCATGTGAGCAAGTGCCTGCCTAGAATGTATTTTGAAAGGGCACTTGAGATCGTACAACATAATCCAGAGGCATTCTGGATGTTGCTAATTCCTAAATTACAATGCTCAAAGTGTATCTTCTAAGTGACAGTCTCAGAAGATACGCTTAAAACCGATCTCAAACCCAAGTTGTTAGATAAGGTTGCGCTTTAGTAGATAGCATATGGAAAGGAACATATAGCCAATTATGTACATTCAAAGACTCATAGGATAGCTGGTAGTAAAATACGGCTAATTTTGTGACCCAGTCGTCGATTATCTTGACTCAAGGCAAACTCAAGCCAATATTACTGGATCACAAACAGGATATGTCCCAGATCTTACGCAGCTTATAACCATTGGGCCAGCTTCACGTGCTGAAGTGTCGGTTCGAAACTAGAGTCAGATTCGTCTATCCTATTACGACCTTTGATATTGACAACAGATATACGCCAATTAAACGCGATTCGTCTATTGTGAGAACCCAGACTTGGGGACTATAACCCTATATCTTGCTGGGCGTTGCCGCATCCCACGGCCTTCCTCCATGATACACCATCCCCACCGCCTTCAGCAGTCGGGACGCAATGCAATGCAGTGCAATATGTCGTCGAAAAATGAACCGAACGCCAGTACCCTTGCCTCGCGGGCTGCCTTTGAACTTACAGGGCAATTGCACCCCGTCGACTCTCGCGCATGTGCAGGATGCCTTGGAGACCGCAGAACACCAGGAAGCCCTGCATAAACTTGTCTTAGCCAAGACTCAAGAATAGGGAGATAGCAGCAGATGACTTACGGCATATACCAACACGGCAACAAAGACTGTGCCTGCAACGGCCGGGCCGTTCTCAGGGTCCTCAACTCCTCCGACTACTTCGTGGTGGTTGTTCTTAAACAGAAGGCCGAGAATCGATAGAATAATAATGGCAAAGACCGATATTACTACGCTGCATAGCCCACGAGTGTCAGTGACGATGTCCATCTGCAGTGCGAGCTAATCGGAGATGCGATGATGCATTGCTTGAAGGGCGAGGGACATACCAGGACCAGGCCTGCACGGCGCCGACGACGGGCTTCATGGCGGGAGAGTAAATGAGAAGCTGGCGGGGTCTTCGTGTATTGAGATATCGCTTTTCCGGCTAGGCGAGAAGTCGGGGCTGGTACACGTCTGCGCGTTGGAGCAGCTTATCGTGAGAGCATTTGATGTCGTAGTTCGGACGTCTGCGGCAATCTCCATAGTCTCAAAGCTCCTCTGCCTGGCGGCAACCCGGCCAGCTTAGTCATGCGATGGTGTGGTCCGAGCGTCGAAGCTCGGCCTCCTACAGCGTCATAAGGCTTGGAAGACAGCTAGAAGATCAGATCGCGCGTGCAGTCCAGCGAATGTTGCAATAATCACCATAAAACATAATGAGGTGATTATGGGACGGCCGGCGCTGCCTCTTCAGCCATACTATATCTCCCCCAGACTCATTTGTCTACCACCAGAGTGAAGTCTTACCTCCAAACGAGACTTGTGCACAGTGAGCCCTGCTACTTTTCAGCGACAATAACATCGGGGCTCACTTCGCTCCCGGCGCCATAAGTGCTAAGACGTCGAAGTATTTGACGATTGCCATTGTCTTCGTACAAGGCAACACAGGACGCAGCCAACATGTTCAAGGTACAGTCTTCTCATTCTCTCCGGAGTACTCGATTTGTACAACACCTGCAGCCTGAATGGGCAATGAGACGAGCTACCCCACTGCCGGCATAATGAAGAGAGTAAGGAAGATGCTGATGGCTCCTCTGCAGGCGCTCCATCCCAACCCGGAGGACCACCTTCATCTCCGTTTACATAGAGCGCGCTCGGTCGTGCTGACGGGGCCAGAGTGAGTTCGTTCCAGACTTGTTCTTACATTTATCCCGTTTGCTTTGGCCCTCTCTTCGGGGCTTGGCATTCGCTTCTGCCTCTCTCAATGGCTCAAGGGGCAGCCTCGCGCTCGTCCCTCGTCCCCCTTTCTCGTTCTTCATCAGTGCGACTCTGCCCATCCGGCCCCAGGTGACAGCGCCACTCTTATGCGGAACGAGCCCCTTCCCCACACTCTGACACTCCGTTACTCCAATGAGCTTATATGCACCTCCATCCTTTTCTATTCCAGACACATCACTCTGTCATAGGTCCATCCGCGTGTCTGGATCTGAACGCCCCCGGGCCTTACTTGCTATTGCTATACTTGGTGTCTCTGCAGACCCTCACAACACATTCACCCACCCGCCCCCTTCCCCAGTCTGCCATGAGCTCGTTCTTCCTCCCGCCCCCCTTCAAGCCGCTGCAAGCAACGCGTCCTTTCCCACCGCCGGCATACTAAAGATGCAGCTAGGCTGGTCGAGATCCGCGCCGCCCAGCGCACCTTCGAGGGGGCGTACATGCGGACGGCGCTGTCGCAGTTCTCGTTCGCCCTGATCATCCTCAAGATCTTCACGTCCGAGTTCTACGCCATCGGCGCCCTCTTCGCCGTCTACGGCGCCGCCGTCATGCTCGTCGCCGTCTTCCGCCGCTACGAGGGCAACCGCCAGTTCTTCGACAGGGAGGAGTCCGACTCCGAGTCGGACGGCCGCGGCGGCAGGCGCCGGAGCGTCGTCGTCAGGAACAAGTTCCGCACCAGCGGCAACAGCGTCGCGCTGCTGACCGCGCTCAGTCTCGGCGCGTACGTCACCCTCATGGTCCTGACGTACAGGCTGTCGACTTGAACCCCCCCCCCCTTATGATGAAGACGAGCCTCGTATCAGGGTTGAACATCATCTACCAATCAGTGTAGTTGTTGCCGGCATTTCGAGGAAGGATTCAGCTCTGGATGCAGGAGTACGACATTAACGGTCTAGTAAGGCTGGAGGCGCTCACAGGCGATCCTGACTAGCTATTCACCTTCCTCCTTGACGCAGTCAGATGGGCAGATGCGGCGTACTGCATGCGGGGATGAGGCGGGGAAGGAGCGGCATTGAGATCAATCATGAGGCGCTCCCAATCCTCCCGTAGTAGTTCCAACAAAGTCCAAGGACTTGAAGATGATCAGGTCGCAGGAGGTCTCTATAGAAGTTCGCCAAATAAGTTAAACATCAATGGGAAATGGCCATCGAACAAGCAGATACTGCCGAAGAACAACACGATCTACCGCAAACCAAGCTAATATCTAAATGCAATGTATATTCGAACAGTTAAAGCAATAAGCCAACTGATAAGTAGACGTACGAGTAAAGCTATGAGGCAAGTGAAAGGAATCAAGGTAGAGTACAAAGAAATCTGGAATAAGAATAGATGACAGTGCAATAAATATACTTTTCCTCCCTAGCCTTCCAAAAATATCATCGCATACGACAGGATGGATGAGTCCAATCGTCGTGTTTTAGGAGAAGAAAGACATGCAATTGTAAATGGTTTTTCCCAGCCAGCCCGAGGAAATGCAAACCCTCCATGATCCCGACTTTTTTAATATCCCCTTTTCCCCCATTTCCAATATCGAACGTATCGTCCATTTTAATTTTGAGGTCCTAGATTTTGTTGCGTAGTCCTCTTACCCGGTTGCATGGGACCGTGTCCCATTCGAGAAGCTTCGAATGCTCGATGTCTTTCCGCACGTGTATTGTTCTCCCTGGGGACCGGACCGGACAAGCTGCCGGGCCCGTGTTGCGTGCCGTCCTGACACAAGATACCCAACCCATCATTTCTTTCTTTCTGTATGTCGGTAGGTATGTAAGTGATGCGGCATGACCGTCCCGTCTCATCCCGCCCATGCTGCCGTCCCAATCTATCGCATCCCGAAACATTTGGAGATTGCCGCCGTTCGTCGTGTAAGTGGCTCCGTTTTATGTTCATCGCATTGAGGTTGATATTATTTCATGACCCCCACATTGAAAACCCCATCTCAGCCTAAAAGTACCGAGACCACGATACCAGATATTAGATTAGCGTCGTGTACCGGGCTGCTCTTTCTGTGCTACCGTGTGCCTGCCAGTAAAGCGCGTCTTAGTAGCTTAGTCGCCGGCCAAAGTGAAGAGCATGACTCGCGGCGGTGTTCGACACCTCCGACTCAGCGGAGCCAGCCATCAACTAGGAGAATTTACACCTAATGCAGGAAGCCGTTCGTACTAGACTGCTCCTCATCCCTAGCAGACACTGCCAAGACCTGATGGCATATAAGAACGGTCGGTCGCTCAAAGGGCGCTTGTGGTCGGCTTTTTAGAGACGCTTGGTGCATTATGAGGCTTAGAGCAACCGTTCGAAGAATGTCACACAACGATTCGCTTCTTGTTGGGTTGGTCGGTCCCGGCGTTGCACTGTGGCTGAAAGTGATCATCTCACGAGGCTTCAATTGTTTGAGATCTCGGTTGCAAGCGACTGCGACGCAAATCCCCCAAGTTTCGGCTGTCAAGTATGCAAGCGCTTGGGCGAAATTCGCCCAATTGAGAAAGCTCTGCTAATGCTTTCACCACCACTCTCAAATGACCTTCTGTCCTCTCTCTTGTGTCTCTTGAGATTCGAATAATTATGTGACGAGACAATCTTGCGCTCCAAGGAAGTGTTCAAATCGGGGTAAATTATTTGCAGAAGTCGGAAATCCCAAAGACATGCGATTCGATTCTGCAAATAATACTATAGCATTCCGAATGTCTGTTGAAAGGGGAAAATATGGTATAAGAATTTGGCGAGCGGTGTCTAATCGTTTTCGACGGGCTCCCCAGTACAACTGGAAGAAGTGATCGCCTCAAGCTCTTCGACCTGGCCTTCGGCTGCAGTCCAGGACATGCAACGCAACAAGTGCCGGAAGTTCTCATCGTGCGGCGTAGTATGGGTCATGATGATCCATCTGAGATTGTACGTTCTCTCCTGGTGCCATTGGCGGCTGAGAACTGCCATTCTCCCCATACCAGCCGCCATAGGTCTCGCCTGGCTTGGAATACGAATAGGGCTGCTGCCAGCTACCATAGTTGGGAGGAGGTACTGCTCCGGCAGACAAGGAGATGTTGTGCTCCATCGTTGTGCCTGGGATGCTGTCCACCCCAGGGATCGTTGTTGCAATTGGCGGGGGGTACATGTCTGCCGACATTGGGCCAGAAGACTTGCGGTCGTAAGACCTCCCAGCCTGGCTGGTGAGATGGGAAATCGGAGGGTACTGTTGCGAGTGACCAGTCATCCCTTCCGCGCCGAAAGAAAGCGATCGGGGTGGCGGCGGTGGATAAGTCGACCAAGCGGCCATTTCTTCTCGTGACGAGTCGCCCGATGGTGGAGCGTTCCAGGAAGCTGATGGAGGAGGTGCGTGAGGTGTGTAGGGTGAGAAAGCTGGAGTGATTGGCGACTCATGTGGATAAGTCCTCCATGTTGCATTCAGGTCTCCAGGTTTGGAGGAACTGGGACTCGCTTCTGGCGCCATCCAATTTGTCATTCCAGGCGCGCCGTATTCTGGATATGTTCGTGAGGCGGAAGCATTAGTGTGCACTTGTCTGTTTTTAGCACATTTGGGCTCCAGGCACAAGCGTTCTGGGGTGTTGTTGGACTTACTCTTTGCATCAGATGGGTAACTGTCAGAGCCTGGAGGCTTCATCGAAGGCGGCGCCATGTTTTGGATGGATGGCATTGTCATTTGGGAATACGGCTGCTGCGAGTGCATGTCGGACGGGTGTCCGCTCGAGATGGCCGGAGAAGATGATGCTGAAGCAATCTTGGGCCCAACTGAAGACCTCGATGCAGACTTCTGTCGCGTGTCTGTCGGTGGCTGCTGGTCTACAGGATAGAAGCTGCACTCTTTCTTCAGCCGAATGCAGTTAACACATCGTCCCTGGACATCAGCAGGCGAGGGAATGCATCTGATCTTTCGTCTCCGACAGTGTCCTTTGATCAACTGTTAGAATTGCACGCTCCTCACAAGAGCACAGCGGAATGGAACAATCGCCGTATCACTCACCACAAGCAACAGATGTTCGGTGATATCCTAATTTGTTTCTTCGCTTCTCCGCGCTCAAGGCGAGAGCAGACTGCTCGGGGATTGGGGTTTGTGGTGGTGGTAATCCTGGCTGTTGTGGCCTAACATCTGGGGTCGAGATGGATCGTTTTAGTTTCAACGACTTTGATAATGAATCTCGACGTTCCAGCTTCATGGAGGAGTCTGGGCCTTGCCTCATATCCATAGGAGAGGATTGCGGATGCATGGAGTAGTTGGACATGTACCCAGACGGGGGCATCTCCATGTCTGCGCCGTTTGGAGGCGGCGGCGGGGGATATTGATAGGACATTATGTCGGTCATGGGTTCTGTTGATTCGAGAGGATAAGCAGCAGAGTTGCTTTGTCCCCAGAAGTCCAGTTTATTTGAAGGAGGCGGTGGAACGGCGACTGCCATCAAAAAGGAACCACTTTGCTCTGGTGAAGAAGTGACAGGGAAAAGATTGGCGCCTAGGTTGGTAGGACCAGATCCAGAGGGTGGCAAGCCTGGTATGAACTACGGGTCTAGGGAGGCGGTCGGAGATGTTGCGAAATTCCTTGATATTGGTTTATTGTTCCAGCGGCCGGATCCAAGCGGATGACATCGACAAACTTTATGGCATAGGGTATGGGCGTGTCCGTCCTTGGTTAATGATAGGAACAATATTGGTTACCGACGGGGAACAGGACCAGGACACGATGGTTCAAGGGCGCGACTCGTGAGAGAGAAAGAGACAAGAAGACAAGCAGCAGGAAGAGGAGGACCTTAGAAACGGCCAGAGACGAGAAGAGAGACAAAAGGCAGGTAGCGAGCAAGGAACCGACCAATCGAGATGCCCGGTCTGCAAGTGGTACTTTGGTATGCGGCACTGGGGGAGCGGAATCCAAGTATGATAATATGACTGGCCTTAAAATACTTCCGGCTTCTGGCCTTGACTGGCAGCGGCAGCACTCAGCAAGGGTTCGACACAGAAAGAGGAGAAATGGTCGGGGTCGGGGCTGGGCCACTGGTCTTCTAATGAGGTGCTGGTAATAGCAGTGGTGGTGTAATGATTGCAAACAACTGCAGCAGAACCAGAACCAGACTCGGGAGTAGGTAGCGGGCCCAGATGTACCTGCTCTATCTCAAGTATGGATGGGTGTAAGGTAGGTACGTATACCCAGCGATGGCTATAGGTACAGGTATAGGTTAACGTGGTAGGTAAGGCGAGGCCGGTAGGTAGGGAGGTAGGTTAGGTGTGGGCAGGATGAACGGCCGGCTCCTGGGGTCAAGGTGGGACTGCGGCAGCTTGGAGATGGAGCAGACGGAGGCGTGAGCGTCCCGTCTTAGCCTTCTCCAACACGGCTCGTCTTCCCCTTCCACAGAACTTCGTACCTGAAGTGTCTGGATATGGACAGCAGGGGTCCGCCCGGTTTCTGTTTTGGGTAGTTGGATATAACACGCTCCGGGAAGCTCAGACTTGGGTGGCCAACGAGGGCGCTGGGGAGACAGAAGACGAAACGGGGATGAAAGACTGGGTCAGGCGTGACGTTCGTGGACCAGAGCGGGAGTATGCGTGCGTTGAGAAACACGCTATCTGCCCAAGGTGCAGTGAAGTAGGGAACCGGCAGGGACAGAGATCCAAAGGAAGGTTGTTGTGGGGTGATGTGGGTATATCTGGGTGAGGGTGACAAGGCGGAAAAGTTGGTTGTGGGATCTTGAATTAATGCTTGATACGGTACTGTACAGACGGCGTACAACTTGATCTGGACTGGGGGAGTTGTTGGATTTGCACC